ATATCCTCGTAACTCACGAGTCTCCGGGGCCTCGGCTCTATTATTTTTAAGGAATGGAGAGTTACTTGGACATTACCCTCTTCATTAAAAGGAAAGCAATAATGAACCTAGAAACTATATATATAACTATATCGTTATTGAACACTTTGTGTAAATTATTCTTGAATCCATTGTTCATGAGCATATAACTCGAAGAAAAGGCAGATTCTACTGTGCTTTCGTGGATTTCAAGAAAGCGTTCGATATGGTTAACCGAAATAAATTACTTTATCTTCTTTTAAAAAATGGTATCCTTGGAAAAATATTGTTTATTGTTCCACTGGTGTTAGACAATGATGTTCACTTAGTCAATTGCTGTTCTCCATCTTTATCAAATTGTAGACCAGGCCATTCATTAATTAGGGGTGACCAGCATGACCCAATTAATTAGTGTGCTATTTTTATCTGCATTTAGGAAGGTCTACGTTTTGGGAGGTCTTCGTTATGGGAGTAAACCTGACAGCCTTCACACTCGGGTTCATAAACAAACGTAGTGGAGCCACAGCCACAGCCGCCACTTCCGGGTTTAGGAACCAAAATAGTGAAAACACACTGGTACAGCCTTCACGCTCGGGATTTTAAACAAAGGGAGTGGAGACACACTTTTACAGCCTTTACGCTCGAGTTCATAAACAAACATAGTGGAGACACACAGTCACAGCCGTCACTTCCGGGTTTAGGAATCGAACGCTCGGATTTTTCAACACACGTAGTGGAGACACACTGTCACAGCCTTCACACTCGGGTTTAGGAATCCACATAGTGGAAATACACTGTCACAGACATCACACACGTGTTTAGGAACGAACATTATGGAGACACACTGTCACAGCCATCACACATGGGTTTTAAACAAACGAGGAGGAGACACACTGTCACAGCTTTCATACTAGGGTGTTTAAGCAAATGCAATGGAGACATGCTTTCACATCCTTCACACTAAGGTGTTTAAAGGAACGTGGTGGAGCCGCAGTGTCACAGCCTTCACACCCGGTTTTATGAACCAACATAGTGGAGACACACTGTTACAGCCTTCACACTTGGGTTAAAAACAAACATTATGGGAGATAGAAGCGCAGCCGGTATTTATTGGTCCCTTGGCCTAGGTCATACGTATTTAAATACAAACCTTAACCCCTATCACCTATTCTCTGATAATCAGAACGTTTCTTTTCATGACTGACATCCACACAATAACAAAGCTGGCGATGTAGTCAAACGGGAAGTAATAACTGGTGGTGACGAGCTTCAAGTCAACATCAGTGTTCTGCCTCTGCTGTATAGTGGTCCTGTATGTATAGATACAGATAAGCAACGCTGGATTGAAGGTCTCCATAAGTTTAAAAACTAAATTTATAAACTTTGTACCGTTCAATAAAACATGAGGTAAACCTTGAAGTTTATATGCCGTGTATCGTACTGCCCTTTCATATCTCAGCTGCTCTAATCATAAGTTATTAATCCAAGAAGGTTGAAAAATACGTTTAAATAGTGAAGACAGGCTATGTTCTTTTGTGTGTAGTTAGGAACATAGAATCAGAATACCACTTTTGTCTTGTATGTCCATTTTATAATGGTCTTAGATGCTCTATCATTCCCGCATATTACTATTCATTTCCTTCACAAATAAAATTTCAACAATTGATCGCATCTAAAAATACCCAATGTATCACTGCTTGCAAAGTATGTATTCTTAGGATTTATATTACGATCACGTTTTCTACAGTCACATGTACAATATATATTTCAGGCGCTTTATTATGTTATGCGCTGTAACTTGTATCTGAATATACGGACCAGTGGACCCCCATGCTGTCACTAAACTCATCATCTCTATCCATGGTCCTATACGGCATATAGTTGATATACATGTATACGGTATACATGGCATAGTCGAGGATATATAAGAAACATTCTAAGTACAAGAGCTGGCGCTTCTACACCTGCACAAAGAAAATACTCACTTGAAACGAGGCTGAAACTGGCAAGCAAAAGCACAACACCGTCAGTCACAGCCATTGTAACACTCTGCCGCACAGACCAGGACGAAGATTTTGATATCTTATAACTGTGTTGACAGAAAAGTTTCCTGGGAATGTCGTATATGAAGGATTTCACAACATGCTCTTATTTTGGCGTTTTGCTTGCAATAACATAAAAGCAAAGTAAAGCAAATCCAGCAGATGTCATTACAGGCATGTCCTTCATGTTAAGCTGGCCATGTGAATGGATGCAGCTAACGCATAGCTAGACACGAGTACAATATATCTACATTTCCAAGGACGAATGTTTCATGGACACTACTTCGCCAAAGAATCAACGGTAGTCTACATATCTGACATATCATTCCCTTGACGGATACGACCCGTGAAGGTCAGAGTTAGAATTGATCTTCAGTAACCCATGCTTGTCGTAAAAGGCGACTAATTCGATCGGGTGGTCAGGCTCGTTGACTGGGTTGACACATGTCATCGTATCCCATTTCCGTAGATCGATGTTCATGCTGATGATCACTGGATTGTCTGGTACAGATTCGATTGTTTACAGACCGCTGCCATATAACAGGAACATTGCTGAGTGCGGCGTAAAACTCAACTCACTCCTAGATGGACTAGGACTTTGTTAGGACTGTACACTATTATTAAATGCTAACGCGCAGCACTTCGTGAAGTCCGGACTTGGCTTGACCATCGGTAACCCGCGCATGTCATCAGAGGCGCGAACTGGCGTCAGGCTCGCAAACATGTCATCGTATTCCAAGTGTACAAAACGATGCTCATGGTGTCAGTCTTTTGACATTGTGTTTCATCCTGACTCCATTATGTAAGGCCTCCATCATACCGCGGAAATAAAAACAATTATACCTTTTTTTTATTTCATTCAAATTAGGCGTTCTTCCTGAACCTACATTCGATTGCGTTGTCTCGAACGTGTACATGTTGAATTCACGGTCGAACAGCATGGACCTGGGTGCCTTAGTACAAAGCGGTCTTTGCGCTAAGGTTGTTTTGTACAACGGCATTCTGGTTTACATTATATGTATCAGTTTTATAAACCAGGATGTGTCGGATAGGAGGTGTTAAATTCTCGGTAGTCTCTGATGTACCCATTGTTTGAACGGAAACACAAAACTAAACAGCTGTCAGCTTATGTTATACAAGCACATTTGAATACGAAGGAAAAAATGTAACCCACCAAGCCAAAGGTTGGTTGGTTGTAAAATCTACACTACAGTATTCCAGTTACAGTGCACCCTGGTTATAATGACCCTGGTTATAGTGACACCCTGGATATTTTGCCAGAACGGATTTCCTGCCTAAAATATACCCTGGTGATAATGCCAACTGGATATAACGCCGTATGCCAATTATTTGGGGAAAAAAATGTCATTTTCTTTTGGTTAAAATGTCAATTACACTGGCTGCAGGTAGTATACATGCCATAATTGGTTAATAGATATGACTCAAATTAATTAACCAAACTCATTAATGCTTAGATTTCAGTAGCCATGTAATCCAAGATAGGATAACACATGTGACAATACACTTCCTGCAACCTACAAGACGCTGTGATCCCCAAGACGCTGTGATCATTTAGTCACACAAGTCTCATGAGGTGAGGCATCACCTCGACCACCTTGTTCATTGCATACTGTCCTACCTGGTTATAATGCCACCCTGGATATAACGCCATATTTTCTCCTGGACAAACGGTGGCATTATATTCAAAGTGTACTGTATATGGCGGCGGTCTATGAATGGCCGAGTTTTGACCAGACAAGCCAGTGATAATAGCACGATCGATCTGTAGACACAATTGGGGAACGTTGACATGTGTGAAGCACGACAGCGAGCCTGACCATCTTACGTCAAGCATGAGTTGTTAAATGTCGTGTCTATCTCAGATCTTCATGCATGGCTCTGTAGCCAAAGGTAATCGGTTATCTGTTAAGAATATAAACTGACACTGCTTAGACTATTCACAATAAGTTGCACATCAGATTAGAAGAAACTTTATTTTCCAATGACATCGTGAGTGAAAATATAACAGGAAGCAATAAAATACAATAAACTACACATACGAATGAAGTTAAGCATTTACTGTTTTGTAGGGCACTACGAGACATGTTCTAAAACTAAGAGAAAAGTGAGAGAAGCAGTCTGAAAAATGGGCAATAAGACACAACTGTTAAACTATACGTATGCTATTATTAATAGCTCAGATACTACTTTGGCTACTATATATGTACAGCACTAAAAAGGTCATTACAAAAGGTATCGGAGGTAAAGGCACAATGTAACACATTCTCGACAATATTTTCGCTTATATTATTATATTGGGGCATATGCACTCGCTTTAAATTCCTATAGATGCAATAAAATACTTATTATCCCTTACGACTTGCCTGAAATCGATACTTGAAACTTAACAGCTTCCAAACAGAGAACACTTGCCATATATGGAATGTAAATAACTGCTCCGTACATCAACAACTGTCGCAGGCTGTGATGGATGTGTTGGCCAAACTGGTTTCAATCACAAATTGTGCGTAGGGTATTCGTAAGGAGCGTTCCAGGGGAGATAACTCTATGGGGTTCGCTTGAAAGAAAGTACAGTCTGTTGAGGGCATAAATTCATTCGAACTTTTTTTATTTATTAATGTAATTTAGCTACGTAATGTTTATTGCAATGAATTATATGGTAGCTTCCCTGAGGGCTGATAGTTAGTGTTATTGAGACAAATGCATTATTTATTCTTAGCGAATAGTGCCTTTAAGATATAAGAGCAACATTAATAGGGTAAGAAAGAACTGTAATTAAACACTCTGACAGAGGTAAATTAATGGCGAGACCTGTTTCTTTTTCAATATCGATGGAAATTAAATTCGATGAAAAGAAAATAGGAAAAGTTCGTTCGAAATTTTGCAGCTCGTAAAGTAAGCTTTCCTCAGATATCAATAATGATCTCTTTAGTTTTATTTGCTTTTGATTCAAAGTGATGTTGTTTGACCAAATTTGAAAATTTATTGATTCATATAAAATAAGATTGAGTTCGTTTCTGTAAGCTAGTTATGAGTTATTTAAAAGGGAGACAAACGCTAGATCATTTGCAAACAATTGTTCCTAATTATGTGTAATTTCTACAAGACCGTGTCATGGTATGTGCATTTTGAAAACAGTATTCTTAATTGCTGTTTGTTAGACACACTTAACCTAAATCACTGATGGCATTATGGTCTTGGAGTAACACATACATATAATCATTGTATCCTCTGGAACTCCATTATCCTCGACTCTCATTCCCCCACATTCAAACTGCTTGCCACGAATGTCAACAACATGTGTAGGTTGTTGTCTTTAAGAACACCAGCTAGCTCAGATAGCGCATGTTAAGGTATCCTAACTTATTGTCTCAATTACTATGTACAAATAGAAAAATCGAACATATGACATATGCAACAACATTGCAACAAAGTAAAATACAATGCAATAAAATGAAAAACTAAGAAGGTTACATTGTGAAAATAAACAGTTTTACCAGAGAATCAGAAATATTTAGGGTCACCATATGATAACTTCAAACTGAACACAGAAACTGTCCACTGTCACAGATTAGCGTAGTTGCCTGCCGCCGCCTCCATCAGCCCACATTGACGACTGAAGTCAAACAGCAGCTGAACATCATCCTGCAACAGCAACTATACTATATACTTCGTGGAATTATCAAAGTAATTCAAAACGCTTTGAGCCCAAGCGGGTATGGTGGCTAAAAATATATGCGTAACGACCCATGGTGATCGTATAGGGAGACTGGCATTTACTGCGCCTGGTGATAGATTAAACATAAAGTGTCAGATAACCCCGGCAGCGTGTCAAGCTCATAATATAAATCAGACCGTGACATAGGTAGATCATTGCTGTCTGGGGAGTTAAACACCAAATAAATACCAACTAAAGGAGATCATCCACGAATGGTTTGCTTACATAATCAACTCGGTAGCAGATGAAACCCCTATTTATATTAAAGTTGTATCAACTGGACAGAGTGAACTAATACTCTAGAAACATTGATGTGTGGATCCATGTTTCTTTACTAGGAAGTTACTCTCATAGGTGGGTGATGGGGGATATCAATCAGAGAAAGGCGTGTGTATTTTTCAAATAGGGTAACTAATCATTCAAAGTCCGGTGAAAATATTGGAGATGTATCACCCATTCAACGGTTAACATTTGAAGCCTCACACCCTGATATCGGATTGCGGATGCTGCTTCGATTGAAGCTTTGACTGATATATTCTGTGTTCGGATTGCCACATTGATAAGGGACCAACCAACAGTTTACATATATTTAGAAGCAAATGTGTAACCTCACCACATGAGACTGGATTGAGGTTTTGCCACGGTTCAAACTTTGAGAAATTTGGGGTTCAAGTCGTCAGTACCGAGGGCATAGATCCTTGCTCTTAATATCAATCACTTGTTAGATTTGGTCAGAGTTGGAATATTGACTTACAGCTTGGATATTGCTGACTGGGTAAATGCCCGACAATATCAGAACTGGCGACAATATGGGAGTAAACACACACCCTTGTAAGATGAAAGCCAGGACAACTTTGGAGGAATGTTCTGACATGCCCGACGACGTCCACGCGATGATCATCAAGGATGCCACAGAGAATGTTTCCCATGATGCCAAGAGACACAGCAGTCTTTCGGTCAGCCTCTCTGAAAACACACCGTGACCTTTATAATCATGTTTTGAACAATATTTCAGTTATACCAATTCGACACTGACTCAAACCAGATCATTTTAATGAAAAAATCGTATCAGTAGTATTTGATCTTTGGAAGAATTTTTTTTGCCAAAATTGAGATAAACAAATGTATGATGTAAAATTTACCTGTGCAGCACAACAGTAGGGTATGGATGACATGACAGGTGGTGGAGGTGGGGGTTGCCTAGTATTAAGGCCCCAAGGTGTTCAATAGAGATTTGACCAGGTATCTGCAGCATCTTCACTGATCGGGTGAGTTTTGAGTTCTGTGACAGAAATCAAAACTTCTTAATGGACAAAACACGAAACAAGAGTATGAGCGAATTGGGTTTAACCCACTTTCATCAGGTCAGTCTGAGGGAAGGTGATGTCAGTGTGAGGTCCATGTCAATGCCGATACATGCACAAATAAGAAATTCATATTTCGTGTTCATTTTGTATGAATATACGCCAAATTGCGTCCAATGCTGCTACTTTTGCGTTACTGGTGTTTTTCTTTTGTTTTGTTGTTGTTTTGTTTTATGTTTTGTATTTGCTTTGTTTATTGTTTGTTGTTATTGGTTGGGTTTTCTTTTCTGGGGTGGGGTCGGGGGGTGTTTGTAGTTGTTTTTCATTTTTTGGGAGGGGTGATTTTGCTAATTACATGCAAAATACAAACGGTTTAAAGTATGAACTCTCGCCTTTGTTTGTAGTTTTACATTCACAAGAATGAGGCCTGAAGTAAGGTTGATCTGACGGGTCGTTTTTATGGTCACATCACCATACTTTTTCTCCTCGTTCTCTTTTCCAGCAACATCAGCCTGGGAATAAGCAAAACGGTCAGTGAGATAAGAAAAATACACTGGTTTACATATTTACCCAAAACTATATAATTTTATATTTGCAACATGGCATTATAACTTTCCTGCAGTTACAATTAAGTAGGTGTACAATATTTATATGTCGTTATGTTGGTTGATTGATTGGGTTGTTGGTTTACCCGCGCTCAGCAGTATTTCAGCTATATGGTGGCGGTCTGTAAATAACCGAGTCCAGCGATCGATCGATGAGCATCGATCTACACAATTGGGATACGATGACACGTGTCAACCAAGCCAGCAAGCCTGACCACCCGATCCCGTTAGTCGCCTTTTACAACAAGCATGGGTTGCTGATGACCCGGATCTTCACTGGTACTATACCATGCTGAGTGAGTGAGTTTAGTTTAACGCCTCTTTTAGCAATCGGTCAGCAATAAAACAGTGGGGTACACAAGAAATGGGTTTCATACATTTTACGCATGTGGGGAATCGAACCCGGGTTGTCGGCGTTGAGCGCGAACGCTTAACAACTTGGTTACCCCACCGCCCGATGTCGTTAGGAACACACTTGACAAGGATTAATGTTTGTATAGAGGATACAGAGATTATATCAATTGTTAGTTTAAACATGAACAGCTTTTATTTGAACATGCGAACATATTTCTATGCGAACATGAATACTGTTTTGCATCAATATAATTGACAGAAAATAGAATTGAATAAGTTAACTGCCATTATCATACATGGTCACTGCAGATTCTCTTTGGCATATGTTTAGGAAACAGTATTGTATCAAACTGCGGTGTTGCCAGCGATGCGTGTTGCAAGCGCATCCTGCCCCAGGGTTGGCATACTGAAAGCCAGAAAGAAACACAAGAGCTGTCAAATAGATACCTCCAGTGGGGTGACGACAACAATGTTGTGGATGTTGTTCTCTTCCACCAGCTTCCACAGCAGCTTCACCAACCCAGCTGGCGGGGCAACCGCTTGAAGGTACCCGCTCACATAGGTCATAGACTAAAACACGTGAATGATCGATACTTCTCAAATGCAAAATGAAAAGGTAAAGTTTTAATTTCCAATTATGTTCTTGATTTTGGTGAAATGTCTTAAGCATTATATATGATACACGGGAAGTCACGAACGGAAAATATCATATGCCATGCTACTCTTATTATTGTGGACATTTCACACATCATTACATTTCTGGAGAAGAACTATCGAGGGAATATTTGAGTTCAGTTTAGTTCAAATAGAAATTTCAAAACAAAGGAGATATAAATATAAAACCGAATAATTTTTACGCCATATCTTATTTACTTAAAAATCGGCATATCTATTATATGTATTGTGTTTGGAAAATTCTTAGAAGGTTGATCACCTACGAGTGTTTTTTTAGATCTTTACGCAGGTATAACTTAACAGGAGAGGAGAGAGAAAGATTTCAAAATTTCAGTAACCATTTCAACGATACTTGCATGCTCACATAGAGATTGTCTGATACTGATATGGTTGTCAAACCACGTGTACATTATAACACTTGTTCCGTTCGTGTTCGTTTCATTTAATATTTAATTGAAAACATCAGTCCACGTCAAGGAAATTCTGTCCACCTACCGGACCCACTCGGACAATGAAGTCAGGATTACCATCCACCCACATCCTGTGTCGGGAGGGACAATCTGCAACATTTAATGTTTCGATCATTCCACCAATACGTATTTTTAAGGAAATGGTAATCTGATCTAGCTTCATATCGTTCAAGATGCATGTTTACATTGTCATCGATATTTAGTACACCATGTATCTACTTACCATCGTTTTGTTGATTTGTAAGCATCTGCAACAAAATCGATCGGTGAATCAAATATCATACAGTGTATATATTCTTTGACATGAATTTTATTAATGTGCATTGGTTTATGTTGATTGGATGAGGCAGTAACACATCGATTACTCACATCGAATGGACAAATAATCAATTGATTCACACCAGTACTGTTATGATTTATTTTGAAAAAAACCTGACACAGATGAAGAAATAGATCTTACTTGAAATAGATATCACAAACAAGACAAACGTTTGTACAAATGATGTCTTAATACTTTACGAATGCTATTGGGGCAAAGTGAATTGGCAGAACAACCTAAACATAGATACAGCATAGGTGGGTGAATTAGTGCACACCGGTTTTTTTGTAATTGCAACTTGTAAATAACTGAAACTGGAGCACACACCCACACAATTCTGTCAGATGACCCAAACAACTACAATTACTTGTTCTATCGACCCAAACAAGATCTCAATTTCGACCAACTATCAGGTCTCGGTACCTGCTCTTGCTGGAAGGTTTTGTTGGAGGTAAATGATGATCCGTAACCAATCATAAATACTACAGTACGGTTTCTGTACCATATATGTAATGTACCATATCTAATGTACCATATGCAAAGATAATTTACATAGAAATCCCGTCTCAAATACTTATTTAGTGGCTCCGTTACACAGAAGTGAGAGAATGGGAAATGTATAATGGCATACACAGAACTAGGTATACTGATAACTGAAAGAACGATGTATTATGTTCTCTGTAAACCGACCTCTGACATCTGCCTGAATGTCCTTCCGTCCACTGTAGTGTCCATACCACTGTTGAGATAGCAATTGATGAAGCTGTCAACGTCCATGCTGGTGTTGCCATATTTTGTCATCTCCAATAGGCAATGGAAGACACACTGATACTGCTCCTGTGGGAAATATACAAGCCTAATTTGGGGCTGTGAGGTAGCCTAGTGGTTAAAGGGTTCGCTCCTCATGCCGAAGGCCCGGGTTCGATTCCCCACATGGGTACAATGTGTGAAGCCCATTTCTGGTGTGACATTGCTGGAATATAGCTTAAAACGGCGTAAATCCAAACTTACTCACAAGCCTAATTGAAAATATATGACAGTGGAAGCGTCTCATCTTAAATCTGATTAGGATTATATATAAGCCACATAACTCTAGTTTCAATGATTAAAAGTTACCTTTTGTGCACACCTTAAGTTCAGGAATAAGCTTCCCATGTCTCAATATACACGTTAGAAAGATCTATAGATTGTTTTTATATTGTATCGTCCTCTAAAGTTAAAGTATTTTAGATTTAATTACTAGTTTTAAATATATATCTGTGATAGTCTAGTTGGTTTTACTGTCGTTTGTCGACATATATTTTAAACAGATTTTACTGATGACCTTGTTTCCATGGCTGTGTATGGCTGTAATATTGCCGATGCGATGTAAAATTTTAACTCACTCACTCACCCATCAGTGTCCGGACATCTACACTCCACCTACCGGAGTCTGTATCATGTTCTTCCTCTGATCCCTCATGGTTGACACGTACCCCAGGACATCCACCACCCCCTCCCCTCGGGCCTGGTCTATCAGGGGGCAAAATATTTCTAACATTTCATTTGGTACCTCTTGGATAATGGTATGCCCTCAGAGTATATCATATAAAATATGTTCAGTATAGTATTGGATGACTTCCCTTCATAATCAACAGTCAAAGATTTTTGTCGAGGGCTGTTGTTTAAGGACACCCCCATTTCAATCTTCCTAAAACATTGTGTCCAGATATTCAAGCTGGTACTGTTTACAATATATTGTCAGCTGACACTTGTGTGACCATTCAGTGTATCATGTATGAATAAGTGAAAACATTAGAATAAGTTATGTCCTTATGATTACGTCATCTGAAAGGGGATGGCTAGTGTCTCCAAAACAAGCTCTTTCAGTCAACATGAAGGATGGAGTCACTTTAACAAGCGATTGCAATTGCAAATTTTTTTATCGTCCCTCCTACTCAAACATATATATGATTGACATGTTAATCCGTCTGACGTTTTGATTGTTTGCCTACCTGCAGTGAACGAGCAGTGGTCCGTCCGACATTTTGATGGTTTTCCTACCTACAGTGGACAAGCAGTGGTCCGTCTGACGTTTTTATTGTTTGCCTACCTGCAGTGGACGAGCAGTGGTCCGTCTGACGTTTTTATGGTTGGCCTACCTGCAGTGGATGAGCAGTGGTCCGTCTCAAGTTTTTATTGTTTGCCTACCAGCAGTGGAAAAGCAGTGATCCGTCTTGACGTTTTGATGGTTGGTCTACCTGCAATGGACAAGCAGTGGTCCTTCTGACGTTTTGATGCTTTGCCTACCTGCAGTGGACGAGCAGTGGTCCGTCTGACGTTTATATGGTTTGCCTACCTCCAGTGGATCAGCAGTGGTCCGTCTGACGTTTTGATGGTTTGCCTACCTGCAGTGGACGAGCAGTAGTCCGTCTGACGTTTTTATGGTTTGCCCACCTGCAGTGGATCAGCAGTGGTCCGTCTGACGTTTTGATGGTTTGCCTACCTGCAGTGGACGAGCAGTGGCTCGTCTGACGTTTTGATTGTTTGCCTACCTGAAGTGGACGAGCAGTGGTCCGTCTGACGTTTTTATTGTTTGCCTACCTGCAGTGGATGAGCAGTGGTCCGTCCGACGTTTTGATTGTTTGCCTACCTGCAGTGGACGAGCAGTGGCTCGTCTTTCGTTTTGATTGTTTGCCTACCTGCAGTGGACGAGCAGTGGTCCGTCTGACGTTGTTATGGTTTGCCTACCTGCAGTGGACAAGCAGTGATCCGTCTGACGTTTTTATTGTTTGACTACCTGCAGTGGACGAGAAGTGGTCCATCTGACGTTTTGATGGTTTGCCTACCTGCAGTGGATGAGCAGTGGTCCGTCTGACGTTTTTATGATTTGCCTACCTGCAGTGGACAAACAGTGATCCGTCTGACGTTTTTATTGTTTGACTACCTGCAGTGGACGAGCAGTGGTCCGTCTGACGTTTATATGGTTTGCCTACCTGCAGTGGATCAGCAGTGGTCCGTCTGACGTTTGGATGGTTTGCCTACCTGCAGTGGACGAGCAGTAGTCCGTCTGACGTTTTGATGGTTTGCCTACCTGCAGTGGATCAGCAGTGGTCCGTCTGACGTTTTTATTGTTTGCCTACCTGCAGTGGACGAGCAGTGGCTCGTCTGACGTTTTGATTGTTTGCCTACCTGCAGTGGACGAGCAGTGGTCCGTCTGACGTTTTTATTGTTTGCCTACCTGCAGTGGACGAGCAGTGGTCCGTCTGACGTTTTTATTGTTTGCCTACCTGCAGTGGATGAGCAGTGGTCCGTCTGACGTTTTGATTGTTTGCCTACCTGCAGTGGACGAGCAGTGGCTCGTCTTTCGTTTTGATTGTTTGCCTACCTGCAGTGGACGAGCAGTGGTCCGTCTGACGTTTTTATGGTTTGCCTACCTGCAGTGGACAAGCAGTGGTCCGTCTGACGTTTTTATGATTTGCCTACCTGCAGTGGACAAGCAGTGATCCGTCTGACGTTTTTATTGTTTGACTAACTGCAGTGGACGAGCAGTGGTCCTTCTGACGTTTAGATGGTTTGCCTACCTGCAGTGGATTAGCAGTGGTCCGTCTGACGTTTTGATGGTTTGCCTAACTGCAGTGGACGAGCAGTGGTCCGTCCGACGTTTTTATTGTTTGCCTACCTGCAGTTGACAAGCAGTGATTCGTCTTGAGGTTTTGATTGTTTGCCTACCTGCAGTGGACGAGCAGTGGTCCTTCTGACGTTTAGATGGTTTGCCTACCTGCAGTGGACGAGCAGTGGACCGTCCGACGTTTTGATGGTTTGCCTAACTGCAGTGGACGAGCAGTGGTCCGTCCGACGTTTTTAAGGTTTGCCTACCTGCAGTGGACAATCAGTGGTCCGTCTGACGTTTTGATGGTTTGCCTACCTGCAGTGGACGAGTAGTGGTCCGTTTGTCTCAGCAGCTGTCTGTCTCACCAGCCAGATGAAGTTGACCAGAGCGAGGGTGTCAGGTACACCGTGGTCAGGCCAGGTTGTGAAGTGGAACTGGAGAACTGACCGACTTTCTGCTGTCTGTTGTAGAAAGGATTAGCATTCATAGTTCAACAAATCAGGCGCCAATTGCACATTCATTCAAATTCACGCGTTTGTTTGTTTATATAACAACTCTCACATGCTTCCAAAGTAGTGTTCTTCATATAGCCAATCAACTTTAATCTTATACACTGAGTTTAATTTTCACTTCACTTGGGACATTTAAGTCTGACGTTTCTTGAGGTAATTCCTACTTCTTAGCGTATTCATTTGATTACCAGCCAGACAACTGGTATATATATCCCCTACATGTTTGGACTCTCCACGAATTCTTCAGTTTGAGAACTTACAAATGATATTTTAATTGTCTATACATGAAAAAAGTATCCTGTTTGCGATTGTTACGCCTTACTTAGAAATACTGGTGATTACATTTTCAAGGTTTCAAGGTACTATGCAGTATGCTCTTTCAACGAAGATTTCAATCAGCTTCGAACGAGTCTTGCTGAAAAGATGTGTGATCACGATAAATCTCAGTTAAACTTTCAAAGCATTTTATTGTAGCGATATGGGAGACAAATTCCCAAATCTGACGCATCAGTGGCAAAACTGATGTTCAATGAAGTTTCCTATCTTTTACTTTTACTTTATGTTTCCATTGTTTTTCAGATGAACACTTGACAGCCTTTGAAATTGTTTGTCATCTTTTCGAGAATACCTACACGATAGTGATTCACAAATACTTGCTCCTGAAACATTTGGATTGTATACTTATAGATTTCTTACAGCCATGGAAAGCGGTTTTTCACTTTATATTTCTGAACGTTAGTCAAATAAAATATGACTGTAAATAATCCATGACATCATGCCGATACTTACTGTACAAGACGTGACCTTCAGATGTCTCACTGTAAAGTTTGCTCGGGTTTGTATGGCTCCAACTTCCACCTGGAACAGACCTGTGTTCAGGACGCCCTGTGACGGCCAGTACTGTTCACATTTCACCTGAAATTTATGCTGACAATACCACACACATTCTAACCAAAATATTGCATTTTTCAGGTTCCTCTGAATGCCCAGCAAACACTCTTTTGTCGTTTAGTCTCAAGTAAGTTTAATTGTTTAAAGTATTTTCGGAACAAAGTCTATCTCCGAAATTAAAATTCTTGTTTATCATAGTTGTAAATCATGCCTGCTTGTATCTACCTTACATCCTTCTACGAGACCAGTCACCATGACAATAAGGCTGCAGGAACGTTCCCAGATCATTCTCCAGAAGTCTCCCACGGTCTTCTTACTGGGGGCTACAAATCAACGGTATTTATATATCAACATCAATCTCTCAAAGGAGGGATGATCTACAGTGGCGGCGCATGCAGAAGAAGCATTAATGAGACACTTTGAATTCAACTAGCTACCTCCAGAGATAAATTTAAAGTTTTATACATAAGCAGAGTTGAAAACGGATGGCGTTGTTTTGAAACATTACAACAACATTGTCATCACCTTTAAAGCTAAGTTTTAACCATATGTGTTCTGCTGGCTCTAATCACATTCTAATGTCAATTGTCCAAAGTAAAAAGTAAAGTAAATCTTTACTGCCTATTGATTTATTGATATTAAGAATGACATTGTGACGTTAAATATTAGCTCACTCACTCACTATGATCGTATACAACATACCTTGAGCGGCGATGTAGTTTCTCCTTTGATTAAAACTCTGGAACAGAAGAGGAAACTGTGATAGTGCAGGACTTCAGATTGTTTCAAACTGGTTGTTTTGTTGTTTATTTCATTATGGCTGCGGTTTGTAAATAATCGAATCTGGACTAGCAATTCAGTGATCAACATCATGAGCAACGATCTACGCAATTTGGATCCGATGACATGTATCAACCATGTCAGCGAGCCAGATCACTCTATCACTTTAGTCACTTCCTACAAGTATTAGTTGCTGACCCAGATCTTCACTGGTGTGCAGCACTTAAGACAGATTACTGCATGATACAAAACAGAGGAATGATCATATAATACGTCAGAACGTTTTGCATAAAATAATCCTACGTGCATCAGACTGGCGTTGATATAGTCAGAGCCTGGGACTAACAAAACAGTGAAGCAGTTGGCTGAATCTATCTTACAACTTGCACAATTGTTCAGTAATAAATCTGCAGTTCATTTCATATGATATAGCTTCTAAAACACTGACGCAAACATCTGGCACAAAACTTTGCAAACACTCGGACATTTGCTGTGTATATTTCATACAATATGACATTTTCGACCCGTGAAGATCCGGGAAGAATTAGTCTTCAGCAACCCATGCTTGTTGCAAGCGGGGACTAACGGGATCGGGTGGTCAGGTTCAATGACTTGGTTGACACGTGTCATCGTATCCCAATTGCGTAGATCGATTCTCATGACTTTGATCACTGGATTGTCTGGTACAGACCGCTGCCCAATAGCTTGAATATTGCTGAGTGAGGCGTAAAACGCCAACAAAATTAAACCAAACAAGATGTTTTCAAAAATTCCTAATGCAGAATACGTAATAACCCTTCCCTCGTCAGACACAAGAAGCATGAACTTGTTTCATAGAAATATTATTGCATTATTGCAAATAAATTTTGAATCTCGTTAGGTATGAATGCATTGTCGACTAGAAAGGACCGAGCTTCAAATACCCACTTATACATAGATGAATACATCCAATCAACAATGCCGCACTTTCACAACGTGTTTGATAAAGCTTCTCGAATATTGAGACAAAGATCAAGGTCCCACAAAACCTTTTTAGCTCTACGACATTTTCGTAACCTTATGATGAACTGTTAAACTACGAAAGGTTACAAATGATTTATGGATCGGGGCCCTGGCATGGAACTTACATGACTCGTACATTCGCTGTGAATGAACAGTGAAACACATGCATGTCACAAGCACACGAATACACATACTTAATACAATACATGACTTACCATAGATCTCCACCTCACAGATGTTCAGAGCAAAAGTATACCCATCAGTTCTTCCAAACCCCTGGTTCCTGATGGTGACGTATCTGCCGGTACCGTTACACGACACGTCAGTTGGTTTGGTGGATGAACTCGGGAGGGTGGAGCAGATGTTGGAGGTGTCATTATTCAGTAAGATGTTGGAGTTGGCATTTCTAGAGTAGGCTTGAAAGCAACATTGTTTTAATGTTACACTATAGTACTGTGTCAACATAGTTGCTGTTAGCTCATATTTCAGATCACAAAACTATGTTCATGTAATGGAATAATACCGAGGAGACACCTCCAATGTATATGTTTTACAGCAGATGGGGATTAGAATACTGACACCCGATCGGTTGCCAAAAATAACAGCACATTGAAGCTCAAGATAGTTCTGGGTGCACATGTTTTGCACAAAATCCCTTTTAAATTTGTATTTTCTTCACTGAACCAGATATATTCATTGTACCTTACAGTAAACGTCCTGATCCTCAAAGGTATTGATACGTTAATTGCTAATATTGTCCGTATATATACAGTAACCCATGTGTATAGTAAATCAATTCTGAAACAGTATAGCAAAAATAGGATTAATAGAAATACGTATATATATAAATGTTAGATTGATGTATATTTGACAATGGTGCAACACCGTTACTGCTAGAGTTTGACCAACAGCATACACTAAAAATGTGCCTCGTCATATGTCTATTTTGGTGACAGAGCAGTACCTAGTGCACATATCTGAGAGTGTATTCTTCTTTTATCCAGTATGTAATTGTTATAATAACCTTGAGACGGAATTGCTTCTAAGCTAATTCATTAATGTGAAACGTATATAGATATAAATGTATCTTTACAACATCTGTTATATCATTACATAACTAGCAGTATGGTGTTGGCGTGATAATGTGTTATTTTTAATGTGTTAGGATGTACTGTAATGATAGACAAGCATTCTGCAGGGAGTTCAGGTAAGTAGTCTAATACATTACAATCTTAAAAGGACCATCGAACGTTTAGTTTTCTATTACATAACGATGCCTTGATACGTACAATTACGTCTACTGTAGATCCTGATGTCATACAGCTGGAAGTCCCGGCCCAGATCCACTGTCCAGTCTGACGGAGATCCACCAGCGTGGAAACAGGTGCTAATCCCACCATCTACGTTATTGTCACCATCCACAGCCTTTGATGCAAGCCAGCCTCCAAACACTGATGCTGCTGATGTTGTCTTTTGAAGTGCAATGTTTCCTATGTAGTACAAAATTAATGTCACACACGGAGTTCCATACACATTCCAGTATATGCTTATACTGAAAATGACCCTGTATTTGTCGGGTGATATCCTATCTATATTAAGTTATCATGGGTTTACATGCGTAGTGACAGTCGGATTCCAGTTCATAGTATAATGATAACCACATCCCTACAACCTATCTGTTTTGTTACAAATATTAATACGGTGTAAGTGATCGGGTCATCAGGCAGCTTGTAATGATTTGTACGAAAAGCAGTTTTCACACCCACCAAAACAGAATAGTAGCATCCATATGAATGCCTTTGTATGCGGCACCCACGTTTCTGCCAAAGACCCCCATCCTTTGTCCAACCCCTATCACAAGAACCAGAACAGACAGAACAGAGAATGAAAGATATCGCAAAAAAATGAAGTGATAATATGTGTGTGATACTGAGTGAGTGAGTGAGTTTAGTTTTATGCCACACTCAGCAATATTCCAGCTATATGGCAGAGGTCTGTAAATAATCAAGTCTGGACCAGACAATCCAGTGATCAACAGCATGAGCATCGATCCACGCAATTGGGATACGATAACATGTGTCAACCAAGTCAGCGAGCCTGACCACCCGATCCGATTAGTCGCCTCTTACGACAAGCATGTGTTACTGAAGACAAATTCTAACCCGGATCTTCACGGGTTTTTAAATGTTTGTATGTGATACTGACGCTTCTGGCACATGCTTCCTCCCGTAATCCATCCAGAGTCGCAGGCAACTGAACAGACACCCGTAGTCTCGTCACATGATGTCCCGCAGTGACAGGATTAGCTACAGGAGTCTCCAAACCATCCTGGTTGACAGGTACCTGTGTGGAGACACAGAGAAGTAACATTCAACACTGAAAGGAGTAGTTAAACTTTCCCAGTAGGCTATGTGGTATGTATCCGTTTACTGACGAGCGGACAACAGGTATTGGATAACGCTACACTGGATAGTGGATGAAATCATGTTGTATGGATGACAGGACAATGTTTAGATACATAGATCATTGGACAATGTGCTGTAGATGGCAAGGCCTCAATAGGGATGACTTCATCTCTGGGCTTGGATGGTGATCTACCTTCTGTTGTTGGCGATCTATAGCCTGTTTTTATATTGTATTGTCCAAATAGTGCTCTTAGTTTTAACTTTCCACGCTAGTTTTAATTCTAATTGTGATATTCTAGTTGTTTTACTGTCCTTCGTCGACAGGTTTGTATAATATACATATATTCCATTTCAATGTCAAATATGTTCTCGTCACGATATGGCTGAAATATTGCCGATGAGACGTTAAATATTAACTCACTCACTCACTCACTGGGCTTGGATGACAAAGTCGTGTATTCGGATGACTAGAAGTCGAGTTATGTATGACAGGACCCAGAATGTAGGCGAAGGTCATGTTTGACGACGACTGAAATGAGGATTTATTTTTGACATCATGCGCAAACGCACATGTACAACTTGTGACATATTTACATTAATTTGTAGTTCAAGGTACAGATTAGAAATACACATGAAAACATTGCTCTAGTTTCTGACAGTAGATTATGTATGACGAACACGCAACCTTTTTCTTCCTTGTATAATATATAGAGGGTTGTAAGCTGGTAAAATGCACGGATGAATATTTATTGCTGTGAGGTTAATTGTTTGGAAAGGTTAATAGAATACCCTAGTGAAATCGATTCATTAGTCTCATCGTATAATCCATGAACATCTTGCTCTTTCCTCTCGACTCCAGTGATATCTATTAAGCTTTTAAGCACACACTTCACATAACAGTGACTTATACGCGAAGTTTATAACACTGTCAGATTAGAAATACAACCTTTTCCTTCCATATGTAATATACTGAAGTTGGGATAATCCATTTTCATCTTGCTCTTTCCTCTCGACCACAGTTACATCTTTTAAGCTTTGTACGAAGCAAACGCTTCACACAACAGTGAGTTATACTCGAGGTTTATAACACGTTTTTTACTGGTATTGTCCCGTTAGCTGAGATGCACACGCAGATAGTGGACGGGTTCGTCTATGTATAACACTTGCAAAACAAGTTTTGTCAAACGTGTATGCAACATGCTCGTCTCAGTATATATATACACAATAGATTATTTGTAGTGATGTACACATCCTCGAGGAAGGTACGTATTCTTCGACGTAAGACAATCGGCTGCTGTACTCACCCGATGTCAGCTGTATCCATTGAAGTAAGACCACTACAACGAATATCCTGACACCCGCCATGTTGAGAAACAAGGAAGTGAAATACGCAGTCAAGATGTGTTAAAGGTTACGCTCACTGAATATCCACTGTGTCGTGTATGTGTAAATGTATCTAAATTTATCTTTTGGAGCCATGATAGGGGACTACAGTCCATAACAACGCCAGTAACACACAACAAAATTTCACAGACGTTTAATAAGATTGTTAGACACATATCACGTATTTGTGAACAATGTGTTCAGCTTTCACATTCGTTATCCATGTCACATTTGCTCATATTCAGGTACATCCTTTTCAGAAGGGATTAGATTAGATACATGCTGTGGGCAGGTATGTAGCCAGGCACAGAGATACCGGTTTTATCTTGCTGTATATTGGAAAAGAGCTGAGTGAAATATCAACAGCTCGCACTGACTAGATCCTCCTCCTATGCATGCATGTGACTCACTGACCCGTTGTAATGTTGACTCCCAACAGAGCTTGCAGGGTAGCTTCCATCTGGGTTACATGCGGTCAGCCATGACGACGTATCAGCCCTGGACTGGGCAGAGGGACTTCAGGAGAATTGTTCTATGCAGAAATATAGTGAGAAGCAATGCTTTGATCAATGTTGAGTAAAGTGTCATCAGGTCGCACTCACTATTTTCCTCCTACACATGCATGTGACTCACGGTCCCGTTGTCAGGCTGACATCCCAACACTGTTTACAGGGTAGCTTCCACCTAGGTCACGAGCGCCCAACCCAGACGACGTGTCAATGAGGCCTCAGAAATCTATTTACCTGAGCTCGTAACACAATACTGTATATCTATTTTGATGTTATGTATGTCGTGGCGTATTTAAATTAAATGTATTGTATTACTTTTTACTTTCATCAAACACGACCTATTGTTTTTTGTGGAGATTGCTGTGGCTGAGTGAGTTAGATTGCATTACTGGGACATTGTGGGTTCAATAATGGATCTCACCGTTAAAACAATAGAACCTGTACTTTTCTGAGAAAGTGTAATCCCATATGTTTCATTTAACCACCTCATTGAATGACATTGTACACTTCCTGTGGTTCATGAGTTATCCCCTGTGTGTTGATATTGTTTGCCGTGTGGGGCACTCCGTCAGTCCATACACATGGTCTACTTATGTTATTTTCGATAGTGACTAGGCCTTTTACTCCTACAAGTGCTTGTCATACAACAGTGCCGCTCAGATTGCAGTTACCTTGATATTACACAGAAACCTGGGCTATTTGCATTCAGGCCTTGAATATATCACTGAAATGACAAGCCTTACAGTGACATGAAACCTGTTGGACAGGGAAACCTATGGCAGGACATGTTCACCTTTTGCTAACACCTTGTGTCATCACCTGGTGGTCCGTTCTTAATTTACCCAGCTCTGTTAGCCTTTACACAATGTGGAATCTGTAATAGTCAGTATAGGGTATTCGTTTGCACAGCTGCTGTATATTTACAAGAGGGTTATATCCTTCCGTTTTCCGCTAAACTCACTTTCAGCCAAATCCGCTTTAAGAAAGTAACGATACAAATGGATATACTGACTCTCGCAGTTAAATGTTTGCTAACATGTTTCTATTACTTCCAGCTTACTGACATCCGGTTCGAAAAGAAAAAAGATGCAAAAGCAGTGTATATTCCACTTGTCTTGCAATGTTAGTCCCCTTGCTCTTTGCACACAACACGTGACAGACATGCATGTATTTGTGTATTGATAGCTTAAAAGAGAAAGTCCGATTCCATTTCCAGAGGAAGCGACAAAAGATAACCCAGATAAATTCACTGACCCTGAGTGGCGCCCGGCAATGATGTCTCTGTGTATCCATGCAATGAAGTCAAAGATTATATAAATATAGAAGTAAGCTACTACAAGCTATTTCACAAACACACGCACACACTCACTCACTCACTCACTCACTCACTATCGATTACAAGTTCTTAAATATCAAATGGCGACGTTTTGTTATTTATCCTAATACCCTTATAAGGATTATATACTATTCGCACAAACGTCGCCCGAGGGATATCAAAGAACTTGTGGGGCGGTGGGGTAGCCTAGTGGTTAAAGCGTCCGCTCGTCACGCCGAAAACCCGGGTTCGAATCCCTACATGGGTACAATGTGTGAAGCCCATTTCTGGTGTCCTCCGCTGTGACATTGCTGGAATATTGCTAAAAGCGGCGTAAAGCCAAACTCACTCACTCACTCACTCAAATAACTTGTAGTCTATGCAATGACTATTACTATTTTGTCATTACGCAACTTCTAAAGATCTTTATCAAACAATTCACCTCTCACAAACATATGTTCACACAGAAGTTAGGAATGACCATTCCTCTAAGGTCAGTCAAAACTTTATGACATCAGTGTCCCACGATGACTATGATATGTATATAAGATGACTGACTGACTGACGCTTTCAGCAACATTCCAGCAATATCAGGGCGGGGGGACACAAGAAATTGGCTTCACACATTGTACCCATGTGGGGATTCGAACCCGGGTCTTCGGCGTGATGAGCCAACGCTTTAACCACTAGGCTATCCCACGGCCCCGTATAGAAGATGAACGTCTGTGTGACAATTCCCATTGTTCTCAACACCGACAAAGTAACTTTTCTCAGTTAAGAACAAAATAGTCCAAAGTCTTAGATGTGCGAAAGGCAACCCACCTGTTGTTGATAACTAGAATGTGTTACGTCAGTAAACAGCGGATAATTACAAATACTTTGTTGGTAAATTTTATTCTGTTTACATCTTACGGCAGACACAGCATGGGTTATACAAATTAATCACATTCAGATACATTTTTTAAAATGCAATAAAACGAAGAAGTGAAATATTACTTACGTGGTGAAATACATGAAAACAAAAACATGAGTAAAGCCGAGTTGATATACCTTGGTTGTTTTGCAGTATTCGGATAGTATCACATTTGCTGAGATCGGTGGTCATGATTTCAGTCATATTACTTAATGACACTAGAAATGGTATATGTCATGAACTGATCTGACAGCCATAACATACAACATGGGTTATTTGTCATTTTAACGTTTGTCTGCAACATCCCATCCTAGGTATTCGTAGCCAAGATTGTTTACCATCCCATTACATGTCTTTCGTTCTGCGGTATTTACCATCCTCAGTACAAAATACAAGTGTCAATTATCTGAATTTTAAGTAACATAAATACAATCAAGCAAATTAGCTTCAATGCGTAAAATATGGAAATTGTAGTGATCATACAATTCATAAATATTCGTATTGTTCAGTAGTGACATAACCTATAAAAATAACAACAAATATAACAATATAATAATAACAAATCATTAACACGTATCATATGTACAAACTACCAAATACGAACTAAAAAGGTTTTCATACTATATTTCAGGTTGGATATCTTACATGGTATAACCGTCCCTAGTATTGTGATCTACCTTCAGTTGTCGGCGATCTATAGCCCGTTTTTATATTGTATCGTCTTCTATAGTTAAAGTATTTTAGATTTAAGTACTAGTTTTAACTGTATATCTGTGATAGTCTAGTTGTTTTACTGTCCTTCGCTGACAGTTGTTTTAAATTGATTACCTTGTTTTCATCGCTATACAGCTGTAATATTGCCTATGCCATGTAAAGTTTTAACCTACTCACTCATTCACTCACTCACTCACATGGTATAACCATATACACTATTCCAGACTTGTCCTCTGGGCAGAACATATTCAGTTATGTGAACATTAAATGTGGTATGTCATAGCACATACGAAAAGGATCCACTGGTCTCAACTCAGATTTGGTTGTTTTCATACACTTTGTTCTGAATGACATCGTACTGCGACTTCTCCGCTCTCTCCCTGGTGACTTCACTCAGTTCGGTGTAGTCTTGCTCATTCGTTCCTGACGTGTTCGCATGATCAGGGGCCTCTCCAGTCCCACCTGTGTCTGTTTTTCTCACACCTGTGCAAGGTGAGGATATCCATTTAAGTCTGAAACAGTTGTGTTTGAAAGATATAGGACAGGTGACAGTTATAACATTCTAGAGCCTGACAGCCTAGCTTGGGTTGTATACTCCACAGGGGGCTGAATGCACATTGATCTAGTGACAGAAACATTTCCGCTGTACTTGTACCTTTCGCAGTTGGTATTTAGAATTAAGAGCAATATACATGTACACATTATTTTAACACCTGCTTCATACTGTTTTCAACGTCTATTTTAAAACAGATTATATTGTTCAAAACGCAAAGGGATTAGGCACAAGTGCACCACTTATGGTCGCCTTCTCAAAACTTACCTTCCAGATTTCAGCAAACATATTACCAATCCACCAATCAGCAACAGCATTACAACAAGCATTACTGCTCCCACAATAACTCCGCTTGTAACAGGAGACACTGAATCTGATACACCTGTAAATTAACATGAGCTAAACATTATTTGTGAATACATGTATGTCCGACTATAAAACGCCCATGTTTTCAAAGGCTCAATGCATACTAAATATCAATGTTTAAAGCTCATCTAAAACAATTTTTTAGTAAGACATAAATGAGATTCGAACCTCGAACATCTTCACCACATCGGTCACCAGTGAAGCCGTCCAGACACTCTCCGGGACAGCGTCCATCTCCAACAATGCACGTGACGTCACAATGTCCACAACGAGTACAGTCAGGCCCATAAGTTCCAGGTTTGCATCCTGAAGGTCAGGTATTAAATGATGAAATGATAATATTAAACGGAAATTGAAATATGTTTGAATCATGGCATTTCTTAACAAATCTTTTGTAGCCCTTCAACTGAATTCGCACTGATACACAGTGATATGCATCATATGAACCCCTTGTGAAAGATGACATATCAGAAATCAGACAGCAGTGACAGTGGACATGGTTTAATACCGAAAACTACAATGTCCACCATTAGCATGAGTGCTGCCTGCTGCCAATGGCGAAAATGCCATTATCACCAGACATATTATTTTAAATAAGAACTCCGTACACCCTTGTCCATACCTTCCAGGCGGACAGTTGACAGGCACTGTGACACATTTCATGTTTCTCGTAAATCCCGTTTCACCAGCAATTAATGTAGCTATGTATGGCTATAGGATCTTTTCCTGAAGTCGAGTCGTGTGTTAAAACTCCAAACATTTTATGTAGGGAAACCAGACTTTTGGATGACATAAAGACATTACCTGTACAGTCACCCTGTGTCCACCCCGTCTCACATCCACTGTCACAGGTCCCTGCTCGGTTACACGAAGAGTTCCCTGCACAGTGTCTGGAGGAGCAAACGCCACGACAGTCTGGTCCATAATGATTGGCATCACATTCTGGAAAAAGATGGCAAGAGTTTTAGTATGGTATATATGTACATTTCCCAGAAGGTGCACTGGACATATTCTCACAGGCTCGGTGTGACGGTCACATGATGAACTTGAAGCTGAACACTTCCGCCCAGGACATATTTTATTGCAGTTAGTGCCATAAGTCGTGCTGTTCCAAGCTGTAATTAAAATATAGATAAGAAGAAAAATCTTCATTCGGAAAAAAAGTTGAAAGGCATCTGATGTTCGAAGCATTCTAGGTGATCGGTTCAGCAAAGTGTATGAAACGAGTCAGTAGGTGATGTGGATGCACCACTTTACATGCCCCTGAAAACTTACCCACAGTAAGACCTCAACAACGCCTGCCCCTCGGTAATCATTCCTATTTATCGTGAATATCCTGACGTCAGCGTCTGCAATGAGGCGCGTATACGTATCTAAATTCTACAGTATCACTTACCTGTATCACATCTCAGTAGTATATGTAATAGGGGTTTTGGACCAAGTCCGGACCAAGTCTGACATTAGCTTCTTTACCCAGTGAAGCCTTTGTCGAACCCTTAGCACTTCCCTCCACGTGGCTATTATGGACCCCTTGAATGTTGACTTCACCTGTGGGGGGCCTTGTGAAAGATATTGTGTTGTGAGGCATGATCAATACCTCTGGCTTCTTCGGCCACTGTCACTCGGTTATGTTAATCTCAGCGTAACAATTTAACGTGTATCTCCTATGAGTTCTCTGGTCTTCGTGATGATTTGTTGCCGGCCTTGTTCTATGAACTTTTTTTTCTCGTCTTCACTGATGGTGGTGCTTTTATGACACTTGGACCGGATCTCCTGTTTCATGCGGTGGTATTTGGCAATTTCATCACCAAACGAAACTCATCCTCTGAGATTTTACTGTCCATGAGTGCGATGGAAATATGATCGGCTATTGTGTTCAACTTTGCTTCGGCTAGAACTCTAATTTCATCGTGTTTCAACACTTTACATTGCAGTCTGCGAGATATGTACTTAAGTGTCATTGCAGCTAACCCTACTACTCCTGCCGTTATTTCAATACACAGCACCGCAGGCGTTGCTACGATGGTGGTCAACAACACAGCACCTGCCATGCCTAACCCTGGGTAATGTTAAATTTAAAGCTGAACTACTACCGTTTGGGACCAACACGATGCCCGAGCTACCCAGGTATTCGTATAACTTGCACATCATTATCCGGAATGAAAGACATGAGATGTAAACCGTTGTTCTTTATTTCGGAGACGTAACCACTTTCTTTAAAGAAGATGTAAGGTGCGGTGAGGGTCATGTTTATCAACCATTCGGGCTCCTTAAAGTCTGCCAGCGACACCCGCTCGTACACATTGTCTTTCAAGTGTAGGACGTACAAGGTGTCTTCCTCACCAGGCAGATCGAACCCCTCCGTGTCTCCTAGATCACCAAGCGTGACGTTGTGACGATGGCTGGTCATTGCTATACTACCGTTAGAAGAAAATAGTTTTTTGCGTACGTACACTTCAAGCCTGTGAAATGTAGGTTGTCGGGTAAGAAGATTTTGGTGAGTGATATCGTGTCTTCCACGGTCACGGTGACCCCCTGCAGACTGGTCTGGGAGTCGACACCCACCCGCATGTAAACAGAACAAACCTGATAATGAGGTTGTTTGGCCCACTGGAGTTTGATCCCTTTCACGATCTCGACTTCGCGCGGCCCAGACGACGGTAGTTTACTGAGGTAGACTTGAATGACTAGAGTGGAATTAGCAGGCACGTTTTCCATGATGTCATCCAACTCATCGAATTCTGAGACCACCTGCAAGCTCACGTTGGGCACAACAGGCTTTCCAGACAGCGGCAGGAATATCCTATTCCTCGTCAATGCGCTGATGATTACACTGCGTCTCTGAGTCGGGACATAAGCCACGAGCAGGGTTCCGTTGTTCATGATTTTGCTTATGAAGTGGTCCTTGTTTTCCGTGAACATGTAGGGGGAGCCGAGCGTAATGTTGATGATCCAATTGACTTGAGAGGGTTACAGCACCCAATTGTCGTCGTCGGTGAAGACGAGGCTCTACGGTGAGTTTCGAGTGACGACCGTGGCCTCGACGTCATCCAAGTCAAACAGCTTACCACCGAACGCTGGGGTTATCATCCATTCGTCAGCACCTCTGCGGGCTAGTCCATACAGAGTGTTGAGGGCCGCTCCTGAGGTATTGACTATATCACCTAGGTTACCACCACTGATGGAGGGGGACTTTGACGCGTTTGTAAATGCTGTTTTTAAGCTGCAAGGCATACAGTTTACCCTCTATTCTGGGGTCGTCGAACCTGCATGTGTCCCCGCGATCGGAGATCCCTACATCGACACATTTTTTTCAACCTCATAGCTGATCCGGGTCCTTGAGCGCTAGTCATTATCATCATGTGCAGTGTCACGCTGAGGTATCCTATATTCACAGGATTATGTTCTATATCTAAAATTGATATTGATATCCGGGATGGTACCCCGCATTAACCTCTTATACTGCCACGATGAAAACGACTCGGTTCTGCCATCGTTGTACTTCTCCGTTTTCACCGGTATGGCTCTCAGCAGCGTTGAATGTTGTTCAGCGTGCTCAGCTGATCGAGATGAATGCACAGCTCTCGGTAGGGGACTAGGTTGTACCCGTGACGGTGGTTGTGGGTTTTATCTAATCTATTGAGCATCCTCGCCAATGGCCAGCCGAGCCTCATGGTATATATTCCGTTGTAGGTTAGCAGCACTGTGCCATTTGAGTCGTCCATCTTGAGTTCGGTTCCCACAGGCTTGAACACTTAGTCGCTTAGCGAGCAAATGCTGTAGTAGCCGGTGGTTATGTGGTTGCAGATGTCACTGACGAACAGCTTGTTGTTGCTGTTGTTGATGTTGGTCCATCGCGGTAGGTAGGTGATATCGCAGAGTGCGACTTCGAGTTGTCCTGACATGTTATCGATCGCGTGCAGCAGCTGAACGACCTCACCGCTCATTATACACGGAAGCGTTACGTACATATTGAGAAGTATATCATATGTTATATAATATTTCAAACATGTACAAACCAGGAGTGTTTTATTCTAAAAGCGACAACATAAGCGCCTCTTATCTCACGAACGTGAAGATAACGGACTTCGTGGCTGGGTTGCATTTGGGAGCCCAGTTCATCGATGTGTTCGAAAAGCACAGGTTTTCGGTGAAGCATGCCAACACAGTCCATGATTGGTTCAACAACCCTATGCAGTTCTGGCAGAATCAACTCAACTTCACCGTCTGGTGCGCGACGACTGGGTGTGGCTTGACGTTGACAGACACTCAACGTGATGCGCTGAGTAGGTCTGTGTTCACATTCCACGTATACTACACACACACAGGGCGGGACGCATTAAACAACCCGTACGATCGAGGGGCCTATCGAAACGTTTGCAACGAATTCAAAATAGACCGGAAGACGGATTTGTGTTTGCCGGGCCCGAACCATGGGCTGGGTATCCCCATCATTCACAAAATGCCCCTCATGGAAGCCAGCGAGAGGTTGAAAGAATAGGGTGGTAAATTTTATGCAAGTTCTTACGTACGGCGAACGAGTGGAATGATAAACTCAACACGGATTACCAGATCATGGGGTTCGAGAAGGGACCCGTGGATGATGAAAAAGTTCATGCTGGACACGTTGAGAGGGTTCACTCATGCCGGCATCGAACGCTTGAACGACTCGATTCGAACGTACGTGAGGGCGCTGGCGGGTGCGCAGGCGCAAACGCTTTCTGGCATGATCGGAAATGGGACTGCAACGTCGAGGATGCCATTACCGACCCGGTCGATCTATCGGGTGCCATCAAATGCTACCAAGACGTGTTGGAATACGACCAGTGAAACGGGCATAGTCGTACCACCATCCCCTGAGCCCAGGGTCCAACCAGCACCACAGCCCCTGCCACCACACAAGGTGGCTGAAAATCAACAGCATATCAGCCGTAAAACAGCGCTGGTGGTCGGTGGGATCGCGGTTGGCTTGGGTCTCATTTTGTTAAAAATTGCTTAGATGCTACGGCCACGGCGATAATGAACGCCCACAGGTTTTGACTGAGCCACATGACTGTTTTCGACAGCGTGCTAAGTAACCACGAGATGATGCTACCCAGGATGCCGGGAAGGGCTTTGGCAGCCTTACCAGCGAGTTTAGCCAGGGCTTCCCTGAGTGATTTCAGATGTTTTTTTATCCAGTCTCTGTCATCACCACTTGTTTGGGTGATCCCTTGTTCCTGGAAGAGGATTCGGATCCTGTCAGCCAACGTGGTGTCTTCGTTTAATACTCGATCAATGGTAAACAGCTCGAACCCCTCGGTGCCCTCCCCTCTCTGTCAGTAGTACACACCATCCCCGGGGCAAAAGGACCGGGAACTGACCTTCGTCGTGCTGGGTCTAGCAGCGACTGTGTTAATCGCAAGGCAATTAAACTAGGTACCCATATGGGTATACCAAAGATGAGACCCGCTCTGTATTGTTGTCAATATGTGCTTTGGGGGTAACCGAGACCTGTGGTAGGAGATGTAGGACTGAGGGATATTGTTGTTTTCATATGAGGAGTATCAAAAACGGTTTCGAGAACTACACGTGTTCCGTGTGTGGTATCGGAGTGAAATGTCACTACTGTTTATGTAGAGACCACAGGGCAAATGTACTCAGGCACCAGCTTATCTACGACAAGAAAAAGGGCTACACAATGAACATAGGCGCCTCCTCAGGATAGATGTGTAAGGAGGGGCGTTTTATTAAATATTGGTGTGTACCTAGGTATATATAATGAATAGTCTACAGTTCGTGAAAGTTGAACCCCCGGAAAGTTGTTGTCCAAGAAGCTGGCAGACGGATGTAGGCAAAAGTATAGATACGAGGCCGGCATCGTTTCAAGGCCATTGATATCACTTGCACCCTGCCTAAGACTATTCAGTCCAGTGGTCGGATAAGCTTGGTTTTCAGTGGTTTTACAGTCGCGAGTCGTTACTGGAAACGATGGCTATGGAAATTCACTCAACCGTGAAGCGGTTGAACAGACTTAGGCACCCACTGTGAAGGCCCTTGAGAATGAATACAATTGGTATGAATAGGCTAAAAATCAACTCACCTGTACACGTTGGATTTCCAGTGAAATCGTACC